CTACACCCTATACCCTGAACCATATATATATATCCCCTTTATTGGGTATACACCCCAGGCTGTAGGTACCTGGAGTCTTTACGCAACCCTGTCTTCCACGCAAACCGTGCCTGGCTCAACGGGCTGCATCGGAGGAAACTTACCTTTGGTTAGCTGGGAATGAAGGAGTGGAAAAGAACATGGAAACTACTGTAGGGTTTAGGGTGGGAATCACGGAATGGAAAAGAAAATGGAAACGACTACAATTTGCTATAGAGGGACCACTACGAGGATCCATACCTTCATTCCTAGCTAACCAAAGGTGAGGAAAAGGGTTTCGGGTTTGCGGTGTCAGGCTCATTGAAGAGTTCAAGGTTGGAGGTTGTAGGGTTTCAGGTTGAAGGCATGGGGTATAGGCGTTTTGGTGTCGGTCATGAGGTTTTGAGTTTGGGGCTTTGGGTGGGTCATTGTAAGAAATAATCCATGTCTGTTGCACTTTAAGGCAACCAGTCATACAATATCATTTGGCTCAGCGCTAGCCCTAAACCCTAAACCATAATAACCCAGTAAGAACCCATAATCCAAGGTTCGTATCAGCCCCATTGGCCTGTTATGCTTCGCCATTGGGTTTATGGATTGGGTCTAGTGTTTCGGAAGTACATCAGATTCTACTCACCTCATGAACTACTACAACCCAACGCGGGAAGTAAGTCTACTCTTTATTGGGGACCGCGAACTCCCCATATAAAATGCTACTGTAAAAGGTAGCTATATGGGCTGCCATGCTTCTTTCAGGAGAGTACGCCAGTGTTGCATGCAGAGCGTGTTTCACTGAAAAGACTTCGCTGGAAGGTTGGGGGGGAAGCGCTGAAGGGGCTGACGGGTGAAATTCTGTTAATAGGGTTTGTTGATTGAGGGTTAATGTTAAGGTTTAGGATTTATAGTTTATAGGTTTTCAGGACTTGGGTTTAGCTTTAAGGACTAGAGCCTAGGATTTGCTGGGAGTTAGGTTTACGTTGCAGATTGTTGGTGGTGGCCTGCAGGGTTCTGAGGGACATATTTGGGTGTCAGGAAAATGTGGGGATCCCCAGCCTGGCTTGTGTAGAGATGATTTTAGAAACTTCCGATAGGGGAGACAATGCGGGCTGCTTGCCCCATTGTCCTGATTCAGACATGCTGGACCTTCGAAATATGGCCACATGTACTCATCACGCTATACCAGTGCTCAAGGGGGAGTGGGGCAGTGGATCCCTATAACTCTCTCCCTCTACCCCCCATCCCTGTTACAGTGCAGATATTTGCCCCCTACTCGCCATGAAGCTCCATTAAGACACAGGTCTCAAGGTGGGATGAACTAGATGGCCTGAAACGGTCTTCAAATAGAATCCCCCTAACATTGACACTTTAGGCCGAAGACGAATAGGAACCCCAAAAGTAACTACGGCAAAGTCTAACAGAACAGAGAAATCTGGATTCCCAAAGTTCTTGAACCACTGAACCCTAAACCCTAACCTGTTAATAGCCCGCACGATGCACGCTGAACCCGAAGCTCCAAATGACGACCTGCGAAGCGTCAAGCTGTAAACCTCGAAAACCCTCAAAGCGGTTAACCTTGAATCTTGTAATCAATGTTTAGGGCATTATGGGGTTTAGGGATTAGGGTTTATAGGGGTTAGGGTTTGAGGTTAAGGGGGTTTAGAGTTTAGGGATTAGGGTTTAGGCTTCTAATCCTAAACTCCCAAAAGGGTTTAGGGTTCAGAATTTAGGGCTTGGGTGCATGCAGGTATATAGTATATACTTAGGGCCCAAGAAATTTCCCGTATACCAAGTTTCTGCCACATAGCTAAATGGGGGCGTCTCTCCACCAAGATCCAGTAAACCTTAAGATCCTAGCCCGAAAAGGAGCTGGGCCACTCGGTTGTAGAGTGCAGGCCGTAGAAGGGTGGGACGAATTGCAAAGTCTCATGGATGGTCCCTTCCGGCATTCCTCCACACGGAATTGACGGAATAAGAATATTTGGTATTGATAGGTAGTATGTGATGGGTGTGTGCTAGATTTGTTAAGAGCCTAATTTAGGACTAAGTCTGTACCCTTGCTACACAAACCCTGAGGGTCCAAGGACCCAAATAATAGGGCTTCAAGGCGCAAACACCATTAAGAGTATAGTGTTTGAGCCCTGAAACCGTATTATTTGGGTCTTTGGATCCTGAAGGAAACGTCGCATCATGGTTTGTTTAGAACACGCTTGGTTGTGCAGTGCAATGTGTATAGTCCAAGGGTCCATGCGCTAGATAATTAGGTAGCTGGGATTTTGGTACTGGCAGTTTTAGCACAGCTCTGGGGTAAGTATAGGATTGTTGGGGTCTTGGACCCTGAAGCTAGGTTTTAGACGCTATATAAGGGGGTTTGACGTCTCCAATGCTCTGAGTTCCTGTTGTCCAATCTGGGGCTTAGGGTTTAGTATTTGGGGTACAGGATCTCGAGACGCACGAAACCTTGCTGAGAACCTTCAGCCCTAAATGGATCAATGTTCTTCTCCATTCCTCATGAAAACTTCAACCCTCCATAGCCTCAATAACCACTTTCGGGTCCCTATAACCCTATCTAATCCCTACACCCTGAACTCTAAAATCCTAAAACCACCAACAAATCTAAAACCATAAATCCCAAAACTCTTGTTCCTAAACCCTAAACGCTCTACCCTACCTTTTTTCAGAATTAAAGTGTCGGCGCCCTTTACCAGCAGCAGGCCCAACCTCAATCCTGAGCCCTAATCCGCACGCCCGATTTTTTTCCGATGTTAGGGCTGAGGGATGTGTGGGAAGCGTAAGGATAAGCTTCTTCGGAGTTGTTTTGTCGGACTTCAGGATTTAGAAGCCAAGGTTCGGGGGAAGTACTTGTCAGAGTTCAGACTTGGTACCGAGGAAATGTCATACGGTTGTTGGACAAAATCCTGCATGACCTTGGATTCCCTACAAGCCTGGTTCATGGCTAGTGCGGTTAAGGGCTTAGAGTTTAAGCTTAGATCTGTGAGTTCAGACGGTTCAGTGTCCACAGGTAATGCTTAGGGTTGAGGGTTTGGTCCTTCGGGTCTTTCTGCGCTGAGGGTCAGGAGTTACTTTGCATAGAGTCATGACCTTGCTCGCAAGAACGAACTTCTTGATGATCAAGACGGATAGAAGATCACAGCCAGGCACCCCAACATCACAACTCCAAACCTTAAAACCCCAAATGCAAGAATGTGTCCTCATGCCTGAACTTCACGGACTTCTGGGACGAGCAAAGCGGGAGCATTTCACCTGTAACGGCCTTTAACGACTTACACTGAAGTCCGTCTGCTTTGATATTCTTTGCTGGTAAACAGCCTCCGAGGCCTAGAGCCCCTGTCCGTACTTCAGTCCCCGAGCTTCAACTTTCAACATCGCCTCTGCTGGGTTCTAGTTAAGGAACTTACATGGAGTCACCATAACAGGGGTATATAGGGCATATATAGAGTTTAGTGTCTAGGGTTAACGAGCTCAAATTCAGTTATCATAACAGGGGTATATAGTAAACGATAGGGTTTCCTCATTCTAGTAGTTTAAAGTAAGTTCCTTAACAACAGCCCAGTCTGGAAAACTGGGAATGAAGTAATGGAATAGGTCAATGGAAACTATTACACTGGAGTATCAGATAGAATTGTACTTGGAAATTTACATGCACACTACGGTTATATAGGGAAATATAGGTGAACGGATTGTGAGAAACAAAACTATGATTTTGTTGGGGAGTAAATAGGAACCGCTGGTTCCATTCTTTCATTCCTTTTGTTCCTAAACCCTAAACCCTGCACCCATGCTAAGCAGAGGAAAGCAACACTGCCTCAACCGCGGGCCGCGGAAGAACATCTTCGCGTTAGGCATCGGGGAAGCACCCTTCCTGTCAGGCAGGGAAAGCTTTAGGGTTTAAGAATATGGAAAGAATACAGTAGGCAGATAAGGACACTGGTAGCTATATTCCGGGGTTCCCTGTGGGGGGTTCCCATTTTACTTCCTCTAGTCCAGTCCTGCGTAACAGGTGTCGGAAATAGGCTACCAGCGGGCAATGCCTTGGTAACTCTGATATCATTTGTTCTTGACCAACTTCCAGGCAAGTACACATACTAGCAAGCTAGCAGATCACTCTAAGCCCAGCCACCCAACCATAAACCCCAAACCCCAAATGGCTTTCTGGGGCCGCTTGCTGGTCACAGTAGCATGTCCCGTTTGCGGAGTGAGATCTGCGCTTATCCTCACACTTTCCCAAAGGGTCCATGTAGCTATTTGGTAGATACTTGGGCGTTAAAATAGGTGCATGGGAATCCCTTTGGGCCTTAAGTATATACCATATACCTACATAGACCCTTTGGGTTTCCTGCAGAGTCGTGCAATTCTTTTGACTTCGTCCGTTCGATCAAAGAGCCGCCTAGCAACGCCCAGACTTGTATGGGCCTTGTGTGGCGCGACGACTGTACATGATACGTTGTCAAACTGCTTGCCGAGCAGGGCGGGAAGTCTCTCCTTCCTTGCATCGATTTAATTCCCCTATATATATATATATGTATCCCTAGATAACTCCTTATACCCATATGTATTGTATGGAAAGCCCTTGTGGCTACTGATCGAATTTCCTTGACACCTGCTGTGCAGATGCTGTAAGAAATCTGCGGCAGGGGCCCCAAGGCCACACAGCTGCTACCGCTCACCACAAAGTGGAAGGCACGGCTGCGCTGAAAAATATCCACTCAAGGCTTTCTCAGCAACTGATGAATAAAGCCGGCTCACTGGGTTAAGCATACAAGAAAAGTCCTAACATCTAGGTTCTTGTAGGGTTAAGCATACAAGAAAAAGTTCTAACATCTAGGTTCTTGTAGAACAAGGCTTTCATTACTCAGAGGCCCCACAAGCCAGCTCCTGCACAACCCAAACCCTAAATAAGCGCTGGAAGCTAGACCCTGACACGCCCTAAATCCTCTAAACTGCTCAACCAGGAGCCATGCACGTCAGGGATTGCGTTTCATGACCATCACGGCAGCCGCAGCTCCAACCTAGGTTGCCCTATGAACGAAACATCGAATGAGTAATGCTTTGTTGCTCGCTGAAGTTTTAGGTTTAGGGTCTCGAGTTGAGGGCTTACGCAGCTTAGTGTTTGAGTGTTCAGGATCAAGAGTAGGGCTTTGGAGGTCTGGTGTTTGAGGGTTTTGGTTGCATAGTTGAAGAAAGGAATGATGCAGTTGAACACAAGAAGGTAATGTTCTGGTCACAAAAAATAGTACGACCAAAAGGAGAACTATAATCTTAGCCTGCGCTGGGGAGTACAGTATCCCTCAGGGATATTCGCTGAGGCCATCCAGCCTCAGGGAGTTTGGAATCCTTAAAAACCCCCTCTACTCTTCCTTTGCAGCCCCCTCCCGCCCCCTCCCCCCGCCACCCCTCCTCCCCTTCCCCCCCCATGACAGTCGGCTTACTAAGGTATAGCAGTTCAAGCGAATAATCTGCCAACTCCCAAACAGATAGCTCTTCTCACCCGCTATGTGGACGATGCGAAGGAGACACGAGATGGTGCATACTAAGGATTCTGCTACGTGGCGGGTCTTCCTTCTGACCCTGTGCATGTTGACCGTCTTCTTCTATGGTCAGGAAAAATTCAGGATCCGGGGGGTAGCAGCGAACTGCACTTGGGGATACAGTTTCCGACCCTGAAACGCANNTCCTTGAGGCCGGTTCTACGGTTGCGGCTTTCGAAGCTTGCGAACACCCTCACTAAACGCTTATGGACTAAGCCCAGCCAACCCCATGCACGAATGCTGGAACAGGCCTGCAACAAACACGTCTGGAGTGAGGCTTGCCTCCGTTACTCCCTCGACCCTTAACCCCAACTGTGAACTACATACCATGACCTATTCGTGTCCTCCGCGACCCGCCAGCCGAGGCGGGTGCGCTAGCTTTTTAAATCACAACACTCAAAACCGGACTCCAAGCCCACAAAAAGGATTCGACACCTAGAGAGTTAACACCAAGTACTACAGCATGGTAAACAAGCTTGAAATTCTGGAGCATAGAAATAGAATAGAAAATCAATCCTACTACCTGCAAGCACTCCGAGCGTTATCCTTTGGTGGGGAGATGACACTACGCTAGTGACATCCAAAAAGGTAACTTCCAGGAAGAGTACCATTGATTGATTGCAGTTTTCACCACTCGAGGTCATTTAACTACCCCTCACAATCCAAGGGCGTAAATAATAGGGTTTCTTAAGGGGGGTAAGGGTCCAAGGACCTAAATCCCTAAACCCTAAATCCTTAGACCATAATTCCTGGCACTTCGGGAAGTTGCCCATAGTAGATTGTTTGCTTCATCAACGGTAGGATTCCATCTAAGCCCTATCGGCCCTAAACACGTCAGTCCTAAGCCCTAGAAGCCCCAAAGCCCTAAACCACTAAGCCCTAAGCCCTGAAGCCCTAAACCCCGAAGCCCTGAACCATAAAGCCCTAAACCCCTAAGCCCTAAACCCCTAGGCCCTAAACCCTAAGCCCTAGACCCCTAAAGCCCTAAACCCCTAAGCCCTAAAGCCCTAGACCCCACGCCCCTAATCCTAAGGCCGGAACCCTAGACGCTCGCGCTGAGTATTTCCCCAAACCTGCTCATAAGTGGAAGCCATACCTTTCCTGTATCCTACCTCCAGTACCCAGCAGCCCCAAAAACCCTTTAGGGGTTAGGGCTAGGATTTAGGGGTTAGGGTTTGGGGTTTAGGGTTTGGGATTTAGGGTTCAGGGTTTAGGGCGCTATGATGCAAAACCAGATGGAAGATAATATGGAAGGTGAAATGGGAACAGGGATTAATGGGATGAACATTTCGAATATATGAATAACTGACTTGGGGTCCGAGCAGGGAATATATATTTGGGAATGTACTACACTACCATCGGGACCCCCATTTCCACCCTTCTGGTCCCTTGATGAGCCCAATATTGACAATAGCTTCTATCAGGTTATAACTTGCATCATACTAGGAATCCTGGCATAAAAAAAACCCCAAACCCCAAACCCTAAACCCTAAATCCTCAAGGGGGGGGAGCTTTTCTTCCTGCCTAAACCCTAGATAAACCCTAGACTGAACCCACAACCCTAAGTTTCGCCCCCAGCAACAGAAATCCCAAAAAGGATCGAAAAGCTTGCTTGCTTTTGGAAGTACTGGGTAGCTTTCCCCTAGCCCTAGGCCCCCAAATTGTGACCCAGCAACCGCAATGCCAAGAAGAATCGAAAGTGAGGACCACTGGGATGGCTTCTCGAAGCCCAGTGGCTTACGGCGCCGCTGCTGAACCTTCCACATCTCAACAATGTACCTTGTCATGGGCTTTGTGGGGAACGCTCTCCAGAAAAGAACCCCCAAGACAAGGGACCGTAATGGCCTACTTATGAGGGGAAGTGCATTAAAGGGTATCAGGGCTTGTTGAGGGTTAGTGAGGCTTCTACATCTCAACAATCTACCTTGGGTTTGAGATTGAGGGCGCTGAGAGTTTCTCCAAATTTCCCAGACGAAATGCATGGTAGTTTCCCAAAATAAGGGGAGGGGACTCCAATATGGACCACCAAATGCCATTATCTTTATTATAGGGACTTCAATAAAGGTGCCCCTAAATCGGGGAAATCCCATTTATCTGAACACTGCACCTTGGGCAGGAGCCCAGGCTTTAGGGTTGCGGGGTTGAGGTCCCTTTTAGAGAGGGTTTAGGGATGCATCCGGCTATGTATAATATATAAACAGTATATATATATACATATGTATATATGTATATATTATGTATACATATGTAAGGTTGAACTAAACCAAGAACCTTGGCAAACAAGCATGGAAGCTGATGGCTTCGGGGGGTGTAGGGTGTAGGGCTGAGTCTTTCACGCTTTGTGGCTTGGGACTTGAAACGAAGGATGTGCGACTGAACCATGAGAATAGGGTTTTGGCAACGCCAACCCAAATTAGGACTACAACTATCACTTTTGCTACAGTCAATACTTAGTCGCAATATCACTCACGCAAGCTGGCTCCTTTTAGGAAACGAAGCCTTAAACCCTAAACTTTCCAAAGGACACCCATGCCCAGCCTGAATGGTCCTTGGAAACCCTACTCTCGACAGTAGGTCACACTGCTCAAAAATTCATATATATATATATATATATAGAAATTTTGATAGATGTATATGTACATACATGCATGTACATAACCCTGCATATCCTTATATAACTTATATGTCCCTGCATGCCATACGCCTACATACCACTGTATACATCTCCGTGTATATGCCTATACGTACCCTTATATGAACTATAATCTAAACTTTTAGTATCCCCCTCAATAAGAAGCGAAACAATCCTCCATATGCGATTCCCTATATAACCCCCTTTAAGGAGTTTTGACTACAGCTCATATATCCCTGCAATTCCGTGTTCTAACGAACGCCTAAACTCTTTAGCCCCAAGGGTCCATGCGGGTACATAATATCGACTTGGCCCCAAGAGTAATTACATAGAAGCCGCTTTGGGCCGTAAGTGTATACTGTATACCTACCCTAAACCCTAAACCCTTAATCCTCAACCCTACTCCCTAAACTATCTACCCAAAGGGTTCTGAACCAGCTCCAAGTATCTCGGAGTCGGTGCTTGAGTTGGTTCCTGCAGCAGCTCGTTCGTAGACCTTACTTGAGGAGGGTTTAGGGCTTAGGGTTTAGGGGGGGTCTCGGTGGCTGTATTGTTCAGGTTTGCAGAGAAGGAAAAAGCTAGAATTACCATGTTGCTTGTGCTTTTGCGCTTAGGTTGGGGACCCCTGTAGGCAATATACTTGCCAACCTTCTCCCACGTTCCATCTATTTACTAAGTGCCCCTGACCCTTCAAGTACTCCGAAATGCTCCCAACCTCTCACCCCAGCTTGCCTAGACGTAGTGGATTAAAGCCCAAATACTCAAGATCCCCTCCCCTTCAGTAATAGGGATTATAATAGAGATCCCCATATTAAGGCCGTTCAAAGGAAGGGATTTATACATCACGGGGAAGCTAGAAGGCTTCGCGGCTACAATTTCCCGCACTCAGCAACAAGACGGTAGACCGAAAGAAGCACCATGCTTCAAAACAAGTAGTATAGCTCTAACGCCTTAACACCTAAGCTTAAGGGCCCAAGTACCCAAATAATAAGGCTTTAGGGACCTGAAGCCGCCAATATTTAGGTACTTGGACCCTTAGGGATATCCTTCAGGGTAGGGTCCTGCCGCCACCCACTAACAGTCTTAATAGTAGCCATATTAACGGCTATATCTAATCATATTATACATTTTCTCCAACTTTTAATTCCCCTCGGCCCTAAACCCTAAAAGTAGGGCAGTGCCCAACTGAAGGGTCCCGAATGTTGACCCAGACACGCCCCGGCTGAATTGTGGTAAGCACGTTTCCATGGCACTGGTCGCCAGGTCTTCCAGGTCCAGCTTTCCTTACTGGTAGTTTGTAGGGAATGAAACAATGAAATATGGGAAGTATCATGGAACCCTAAACCCTAAAACCCTAAAAACTATACCCTAAACCCCAACCCTAGATCCTAAACCCTAAACGTCCAGTAGGCTTCCATCCCAACCCTTCCACCATGGGCCGCCTTTTTCTCCATCACTGCTGCTCCCGAAAGCCTTTGAGTACCACTTGCGATACCTCATGTGCGGATTAGCGTTCAGGGTTGAATGTGCAGTATCTACGCCTTGCTCAAGATTCGCCATTTTGTTTACCCGAAACCCTAGCCCTAAACCCTAAACCCTACAAACCTTAAGCCCTAAAACTCTAGGGGCCCACATAACCAGCGTTATATGTCCAGGTCCATTTGAGGTGCCCTATGCACAACATTACACGAGGCTCTAGGAGCACAACATTGGTATAGCCCCCCTTAAGTACATAGGACATGGGGTATATCGGGATCTTATTATAGTATACCCAAAGCCATATTCTATCTACTTAAGGGGGACTATAATCATTCAGGCTTCTACTTTACCCGGGCCCCCTGATATGGTCCCTATTTAGGGTATATAGAGAGCGTAGATGGAGGGTCTAGGTAGAGGGATCAAAGGCAGGCAAGACACTTGATGGCCATTTCGTCGCTGGGAGTCGCCACAGTAATGTGCGGGCAGCCTTCTTTCATGTTCCTGGCCTGTGACATCATCGCAACGGTGTCTCCGTGTATGACAGCCAAATCCGATTGGGATGCGGGAAGCAATGTTCTGGGGATGTACTGAAGAAACCATAGAATGTTCATGTATGTTATGTTGATATGCCTCATCTGCCCCGGTGCTGTGGGCAGGCTGTAGAAGAACAGGTGGATGCAGTCCTTGTGGCCCGTCTTTCGAACGATGACCTCATTGGTGCAGGGAGCAGTCCATTCGAACTCCAAACTGTTCGGGTTGCCATTGTTGAGGACTTTCTCCAAGAAGCCATGCATCCCAGAGGGCGTCATGTGAAATTGGGGTTTCAAAGGCACAGCATCGTCGCGATGATTGAAGCAACCGTCGTGTGCCCAAGGAGTGTGAGCGATGTCCATCAAGTTCTCCACGAAGTACGAATGGTCGCAGGGCAAGTCAATCACTGTCTCGTTCCGCCAGAAACCCTTTTTCTTGTAGTCTGTTTGGATTGGTCGGCTGTGAATCTTCTTTGGATCCGCATTTGCTGGGTTGCCGGGATAAACCCAAATAATGTCATTCTTCTCAATGCATGGGAAGGTCTTCACACACTGCTTTGGAAGCTGACAGTCGCTCGGAAGGGCGGGAACTTTCGTAACCGCTCCTGATGTGCTGTCAAATGTCCATCCGTGGTAGAAGCATTCCAGCGTCCCTTTGTTCATCTTGCCGTCTGAGAGCTTCACATTCTTGTGCGGGCATCTGTCTGCAAAAGCCCGGGCAACCTTCTTCTCATCGCGAAAAAGGGCCAAAGGCTCACCAAGGACACGCACCGGATGAGGACGATCCGCTGTAAGCTGTGCCGTAGTGGACACTGCGTACCAGTACTCCTTCACATCGGTGCTGGCCAGCACGTTGCCTTGCCACGGCAGCGCCTCTGTGGGCTTGCCATCAGGTGTTGCTGACATCTTGTAAAAATCGCGTGTTGCACGCGCCTTCTGTCCCTGGAGCCGAAAACTGGACTCGAAAGCCCACACAGCCCAAATCAACTGGACAACAATGCACTATCCCTAAGGGTCCAAGTACCTAATAATCGTATACTTACCCAAAACCTGTACTGTAATTACTACTACCCAGATCCCAAATACCTAATTATTGGTTACATGGACCCGTTGGGTATCAGATTGTACACTTGAAGTTTAACAAAGCTGTTGGCACATGGGAGTCAAAGGTAAGTATAAGAAAGCCTGGTTAACGCGATGTTGCAGACACATGGTGTAGGCATTATAGGGCTTGGCATACCACAGGGCCCTAAATTATTACTACTCTTTTGGTCCGATATTCCATATATTTACACAGGTTAAGGGGCACAAGAAACAGACCTCAAATACGGGAACTTATTTGGGCCTCCACTTTGGGCCATATGTTTCCCCAAAGGGTCCATGTAGCTATTTGGTAGATACTTGGGCCTTAAAATAGTTACATGGGAATCCCTTTGGGCCTTAAGTGTATACCATATACCTACATAGACCCTTTGGGTTCTACAGCTATGTGAGGTTCATACGAGGAGAAGCTATCCTCATCCTACTGGTGCTTAAGGCGGAGTGGGGGAGTGCATATAGGTACCATTCTGAGGAGGGTTTAGGGTTTAGGGGTCTAAAGTTTAGGGTTTAGGGTTTAGGGGGGTATATGTGGGGATTATATTTGAGATTATATTTGAGATTAGGGTTTAGGGCTTGGGGTTGTTTTAGGGATACGCTAAATAACATCTAATCCCTACACCACCCAAGGTCAACAACGCCTCGCGGAGTGCTTCTCCTCTGTGGATGAGGCACGACCTGGCACTACGGTTGGGGTTTAGGGTCTAAGGGTTTGGGATTTGGCAATTTCCCAAAACAAGGGGACCCCAATATAGACCCCAAAATACTATAGTCCTTATTATTAGGACCCCAAAATGGTACCCCTAATCTTGGGAAACCCCCATTTAGGGTTCAGGGTTTGAGGTTTAGAGATAGGGGCTGAGTTAGTTTAAGGTTGGAACGATGGGCTGCTAGGATGGGCGCTTGATCCTGGGGTCTTTACTTTACATACCTAGTATATACAGTCCCCCTTAAGTAGATAGAAAAAAGGGGTTATATAGGGATTATATGGGGATAATGGAAAAGAAAATGGAAACTACTATTCAGGGTTTAGGATTATAGTCCCCCTTAAGTAGATAGACTATGGGGTATGGGGATCTTATTATAATATACCCAAAGCCATATTCTATCTACTTAAGGGGGACTATACGCTATAAAGCCCTAGGAACCGAAACAGGCCGGGGCCCATATTAGGGGGCCCATGATTGGGACCATAGAATGCCGAAGCTGTAGTCAGCTAAACTCTAAACCCTAAACCCCTAAACCTCTAAACCTCAAACCCTAAACCCCTAAACCCTAAACCCTAAGTTTTGCTCAGCTCTCTGAACCCCTATGCCCCTAAACACTAAATCCTAAACCTTAAAACCCCAAAACCGAAGCAAAAGGCATAACCAGGGGTTTAGGGTTTAGAGCTGAAGGGTCAGAACTTGGAGGCACCCCCCCTTAAGTAGATAGAATATGGGGTATATAGGGATTCTATTATCATATACCCAGAGCTATGTTCCGTCTACTTAAGGGGCACTATATGCCCTCATTGCGCCTTACTGCTGCTTCTGGGAGAGTAGCCGTCCATCCTCAGAATTAACCGGCTTTTCGAATGCCATCAAAACTCCTAGTATCCCCCTTGATAAGCCCCCATAATACTCCCCTATATAATCCCCTAAGGAGTTTAGACTACAGCTCACATACATCCCTATTACATATCCACATTCACTTCCCAGCCCTGCCTTAAGCATCAGTAACACGCAGGGTCTGGGCCCAAAATTAGGCAATCAGAACATGGACCCCAAGGACCTCAACTCATTATGGCAGTGTTTCGTAGAAGGGGGAAGCCTGAATTTCCCAAAACCTACCCAAAAGGTCCATGTAGGTATATGGCATATACTTAAGGCCCAAACAAGTTCCCATATACCTACTTTAAGGCCCAAGTATTTACCATATAGCTACATGGACCTTTTGGCTCACCAAACAGAAAGACCCAAATCCAGAATCCTGAGCCCGCAGCTCCCAAAATCACGAGCCGTGGGGCCTGAAACTGACACCAAGCATAGCCCCAAACCCCAAACCGGTGTAGGGCTTAGGGTCGGAAGCCCTGAATCCTACTGTACTCTACTTGGAGGTACATGGGAAATACTAGCTACTTATGACTGGGCTTATAACCGTACTTATAACCCCTCTAAATGACCTTATAGGGGTTACCCCAATTAATTATAAGTAGGGTTCTAACCCCAGTTATAAATACTTGCTATGTCCCATGAACCTCCAAGTAGGGCTTAGAACCTTCAAGTAAGGGTTGAAGTACCCAATAATTAGGTCCCTACTCTTTTAAGGGATACATACGGATCTGTAGGAGTATATAAGAATATAGAGGGGATAGGGTTCACAGTTAGAGATCCAAGTGCCCAATAATTAGGTACTTGGGGTTTTGGTAATCGTAATCGTACGATCCCAAACGCAATACAACCTCAGCACGGAAAAAAGAAGCCCGGCTGCTCGGCGAACTGGAGGCCGTGGAGAGGTGCAACGAACCGCAGAGTCTCACAGATGGTCCCTTCCAGATGCCTCCCATGGTTTGGAATGTAAGGTCTAGGGTTTGTAGAGATAATGCTAGATTTTAAACTCGTAGCATGTGATGAGTTTGGACAAGATAGGTTTGACACATTTTTTTGGGGGGGATCAATTCTGTACGCTCCCACGCAAACGGGCATGTCATGCACACACACACACACCTTTTTGAAATGATGGTGTGTTTGAGGCACACTTTCTGGATTTCGCGCTTGTCTGCGAAGTGCTGTCCAATATGGTTCTAAAACTATATACGGCTTCACATCGCCAATGCTTTGGGTTCTTGGCTTTGGAAGTAGAAGGCTACATTCCAGCCTTTTATGGTACCATACAGGCCTACAGCAAATAACCATCCGAGGGATTGCGGTGCATAGGATTGGCCCTTCAGGACAATTCCCTACCTGGACCCCAAAAGTAAGTAAAACAATAACCCAAAACCCCTTAACATAGCCCAAACAACAATTATTCTACACACTTTTGGGGTTCAGGTAGACCCTAAACCCACCGGGGTTGTCCATTGGCAGGAGCAAGGGAACGAGGCGGCCTGAGAGGCTTCCCGGTCGGAAAAGGCAATTTAAAATCTACAGTGCTTATTATCCAGGTCCTCTTGCAAAGTGCTGGGATTCTTGCTTAGCTGGTGTAAAATCACTACAGAGGCTAGAGCATTGTAGGTGAAACTGTACCTGCGGCTTTATGTAAGGTACTGCTCATGCGGAGCTGCCAACTTCAAGAGTTCCAGGGTTGTACCCCTAAGGTCGTACCTCTAAAAGGTTTCCCCAATGTGGCCTTAATATAGCCCTTATATAGTCCCCTAGGGTCCCTTACACTAAGGACGACATCCCGTGCGCCTTTGAGTCCACAGTTTATTGAGGGCTTAGGCTTTAGGGTCCAGAGGGCTATTTAGGTGTAGGGTTTAGGGTCCCAAGCTTATTCGGGTTTTAGAGTTCAGGGTTGAGGGTGAAGAGGCTGGAAAAAACCGAAAATTCAAAACGCGTCCTTGTGACTCGAGATCCTTCACCCGAAGGGTATAGTAGCCTTGGATGTGCTCATGTGGCTGTTCCCAAAACATGGGATCTAGTTTAATCTATATCAGGGATTCATGTACCTTGGGGGTCTCTACTGGGGCCCCTAAACCCTCAACCCTAAACCTGTTTATGGAAACTAACATAAACTCACGTGTATTGCGTTTAGGGGACTCTGCGTAAAGACCCCAAGCCCAAAGGGTCCATGTAGCTATATGGTAGATACTTGGGCCTCAAAGTAGGTATATGGGAACCCTTTGTGCCCTAAGTATATACCATGTACCTACACGAACCCTTTGGAAAGTGGAGGACATGTGGCTTATAATTCTTCAGACGACTGGACTTGTGGGTAGTCCTGCATGGATAGATAGAACAGCGGAAGCACGGATGCTAGGATACCTTCCCTACCTATACCCTAAGCCCTCAACCCTACACCCTGAACCCTAAACCGCGTGTTTCTAGTTTTCCCAGGAAGGCCCCAGCATGGTACCCAAAGGAGTCTGTTAGCTTCAGAATACGTATAGGGCCAAAAAACGTTGCCAGTACCATTTTGAAGTGTATTTGAGATACTCTCTACAATAATCAGAAGAGGAACCTAGGACCGTAATACCGGGAATTATTTGAGCCTACCATAATTGTAAAAGGAACCCAGGACTATAATACCGGGCACTACTTCAGACTACCATGCCTGTAGTACCCAAACCCCGTGTTGGGGGACGGTCAAAACTTAAAACTGTAGCCCCTCTTGGGGTTACCCTTGGAAGACCCTTAACATGTAGGGCGCCCACATTGGGGCCATCTTTGTGACGACATGGCACCCAAATTCAAGCTTCAAACCATACACCAAGTAAAGCTTGAAGGGGCTCCATGCATATGGAAACCTTCGGCACACTGCAAAAGGAATTTCTCAACGCAGCTTTGTCACTCGTATATCCCAGAAGCACACCTCAGGATTGAGAAGCACCCTCCACCAAAGGGGCCCATGATCTAACAAAGCAAGCCAGGCCTTGCAGTACAGAAGCCACTTCCTGTCAAACATCGGAAGATATGTCCTACAAGCCTGTACAACTTAAACCCTAAACCCTACGTCCTAAGCGCCGGCTCACATGATGTCCCTCCCCCGATCTCTGAGTAGCTTCCGAAAAGTCACGCGCGGGCGGAGCATTTTGGGGTCCTTAACAACCCCACTGCGCACCGCAGCCCAGGAACTGCCAGTCCACAACATCGCGGAACTTCTTGTGC